TATATATATATATTTAATTTTTATAAAAACCATTTTTATTACGTAAACAATATTAAACTTCCAAGTTTTAAAAATAAAATATGTTATAACAAATAAAAAAGTTATATTTAAGCTATCTTCCGCTAGCTAGCCTCCCGCTAAAACTACCGCGCATCTTCATAGATACGTCACTGGATTCTCTCGGATTTCGTCGCGCATGCGCGTACAGCCTCTCCAATATCGGAACACTGGAAGAAATTGCCGACCGGACCGGAACCGGGGATTATCGAACGCGTGATGTCGATTTGACGCATCGATTCGATACGTCGAGAATCGAATTATCGCGCGCTTCGATACTTGCTCCCGAAATGGCGGGCATTAACGGCAAGTGCGCGATTTGGAGCATGAGAACTTTTCGCAATCGTGCGGCAACTGCGGAGCAACATAGGGTGTAACTTTTCGCGCGATGTACGTATATTTACACATTTTACAAATATTGAAATCGTTAAAAAAAAAAAGAAAATATTCAATAAAAATATATTGCAACGTCTTTTCGCTTCGCACGCGTTGCTGCGACAGTGGTTTTTTTTTTTAAGAAATGGAGACGGGCTTTTTTTTTGGCAAACTGAACATATTTAATTTCGTATGATATATCTACTGACGTGTAATATTCAATGCATGTATTAGATACAATATACATTATTATTTAGTCGCTTATAAAACTTTGCGTAATTCGTCATATAGTTGTATATGATACTGTGGTGTACAATATTTTGATCAATCACTTCCAGATATTGCATTTTTTCTTGGGATTCATCGGACTGCCAATCGGACAGTTGTAAGCTCTGGCAAAATCTTCCGAATTTGATAAAGAGCCTATTATTCTCAATCGATTTCTGCTATGTTCGTCACCTGAGGCCAGCATTACCTCATTGACTATCGGATTTACCGATTCACACCATAACTGTAAATTTCACGTTCTTGTGTAAAGAAAGCAGGTATTACATGCGTTACATATATATATAATTAATTAAAACACGTACGTTGGCAGAAGATAAAAAGAAAAGTTGATCGTTGGTTAGTTCTTCCAATCCTGGTAATACGAGGTTCGAGCCTTCGCATTCTCTTTCCCTTCTCTGATAAGCTTTGTACGCCGCTTGTAATCCCATTGTGTCCGCAATATTGTCATTTATCGTCTGGTTACCGTAATTCTGCAAGTTTCAATCGAACAGGACGAGAGTGTTACGAAAATGTGGCAAAAAACAATTAAGATAATTGTTACAAAAATATTAGAAGCGAAAAACGCACTGGTATCGTTGTATTCATTTTGTCGACGGGATAATTATTGAACTGTTCCACGAAACATTCTGTTCTTTTACCATACGCTTCCGCCATTGTTGATAACCATTCTATATTCTTGCCCGTTTTGTCAAAACGGTGTCCTGAAACATTTTCTTTGTATTCTTCTTTTCTTCTTCCGAATGATTATAAAAAAAAAAAAAAAACATTTCACAATATAGTTTTGTTACATGTTGATTTTTATTGCAACGTACCGCTATTATCAAATCCATGATTAACTTCGTGAGCCATAATCCATCCAATGAAACCATAATTAATAGCCCTGATAAAGTGGCAAAACAATTTTACTGTATAATTGTAAATTGTAAAAGTGTGAATTTGTTTTAATATGAGAATGTGTTTTAATACACGTGTGTGTGTGTGTGTGTAGTGAATCTTATTTACTTACGGTGGTCGATTGAGATCAAAAAGTGGACTTCGGAAATCTGCTGATGGGATAACTATCATAAAAAAAATATAATTGCTTAGTGAGTAAAATTGATTATTTGTTACTTATTAATTATATAAGCTTTTTTTGTTGCGTAAGAAAGTTTGATAATAGTTTCTTTTTTTTTTTAAAGAAAGAGTATATAATATACACGCATACCTAAATAATTAATTTGTGGCACATAATTGCCGCCCACTTCACTCGTAGGAATTTCCTTGTTTCTGTGTGATGCAAAAATTATATAAAAATATAAAAACTAATATTTCTATAAAACATAAAATATAATTTTTTTTTAATTATAAAAAAATATAAAGTCTAATTTCACAGTATATAAAATTAAATAAATAGTAATAATAATAAATTAGAAAGGAAAAAATTTGTAAATTGTCATAAACAAATATGAATATATATTAAATTATATTATCTCACATTTCTGTCTCTTTGTCAAGTTGAACGACGGTCGTTTGCACTCGACGTAGCATTGCCCATCTGAAGTATCTGTCGAAGCTGAGTGTATTCTCGTAATACGAATCGCTAAGAATAAGCTTTAACAGAGAGTAAGATAATTAAACAAATTTATGTAGCAACAGTGTTGCAGTATTGATCATTTTTTTACAAAAAAACTTACTCCTCGAAAATAGTATTTCACAAAAGTATCGTTCTTGAACCACTTTGGATATCCTATGGTTGCTTCTATATGTACTAATTTTGATAAAACCGAATCCTTTGTGTCATCATCCATCCATTCTGCCTCTTTTATACGATATTCGATTTCTTTTTGTATGTCATCAAACATATCCTTTGCCTGTAATGGAATTTACAAATTTGGCATAAGTCACAGATGATAAAGAGAGTTTTTTCTAGGTTTTTCTAAATTTAACAGAATTGAATTGCTGAAATTATATCGCTTACGGTTTGCATAACTTTATCAGAAAAGTATCTTCTCACATATTCATATCCTACGATTGCAGTCATGTTCATTTCTTTGTCGCACTCGGATAAGCTGCTGCAAATAATTGTTATGAATTGAATTAGTGTCACGCACTTAATTAAATTAGTTATGAATTAACTATTCTATGTCTAATTTCGAGTAAACGTACAGTAAAATGTACCGTAATATGTACAGTTAAATATTATGTAATTGTCTATATAAGACATCATCGAACCTGAATGCGTTATTATTGATTATCCATGCCTTGTACAGGTCCCTCATTTCGCTCGTGGTCGTGTGAAGCATTCTGCTCACAAAATTCCAGTGTATATAATTTACTAAAACAAGTCTCTTTTCTGTTAACATGTCTATACATCGACGATAACTTTCGCTTCGTAATGATAATTACACACTACGTTCGTAAAACTCACCAATTGTTCTGCTCGGTGTTTCGTCCAGTAAAGACGCAAGAGCTTCGAAATAATCTGGCGAAGTAACTACCACATGTAAATCTTCATCGACCAATACACCGGCTTCGTAAAATGTTGTTGCAACTTTGTACGTCCAATCAATCTGTTAATAACATATGCACGTACATGTCTAATTGCACGTAAGAAGAACATATGAAATTAAATTATATAAATTAAATAAATAATGAAACAAAAAGTTATACTTCGCTGTTTGCAGTTTTTGAATTTTTCTCATCGTACCATTCTTGGAAGTCGTCAAGCGTCATGTTCACGTTTTCGCTAGATTTCATAGCCAACTGAAAAATGTAATATATTACTGAAGTTCGTTCAAAAAATCTCTTAACTTTCAATAGTCGCTAAAATGTAACAGCGCTCACATCTATTAATTTAAATTGAAATTCCACCACATTCTGAATGTCGTTGTCGAGACGTTCCCGTGACACTTTAACATTTGCTTCTTTGGCTAAAGCGCGAGCCACTTTCAGAATGTAACTAGAGTAAACTTGCATTTGTTTCGATCTAATCTTATTCGTATTTTTTTGAGAAGCTCGCGATGATGTTCTTTTTTTGTTCAAAACTATTTTAGTTCTTTTTCGTTCGTCTCTTCTCTCATTTTGTTTTATCTTTCGATTGTGTATCCTGCGATGAGCAAAATGCTGTGCGCGTTTGTTGTTATTTCTTGTCGAAATTGTTCCTCTCTTTGTTCTTCGTCCTTTTATCTTATAATTGTTTTTCTTGCTAATGTGTATATTATTCTTTTTCTTTTTATTTTGACGTAATTTTTTATTTTTTTGAGAACGAGTCTTTTTATCGGTGGAAAGTTTCTTGCCGACTTTTTTAGCGTCGATTTCATTACTATCAGTATCGTCGTCGTCGTAGTCGTCGTCGTCGTCGTCATCATCACAATCATCACAATCATCATTACTATCGTCGTCGTCGTCGTCGTCATCACAATCATCACAATCATCATTACTATCGTCGTCGTCGTCGTCATCATCACAATCATCATTACTATCATCTGAGATGACGATGACATCCCAGTCATCATCACTGTCCTCGTCGTCATCATCACAATCATCGCTACTATCATCAGTCATGTCGTCATTATCATCATCAGGCTCACTTCCAAGCTTCTGACCATTTCCTTGCTCGTCGGACTGCTCGTCTTCATCTGTTCTAGTTTGTGAAACCATTTCGTACACACCCGGAGGTAAGGATGGCGGAGTGACCTAGTATTTATCCATTTTTACATAATTCAAAATTAAGATTTTGTACAATATTAACAGAGAAATATATAATGTGATAAATACGTGCACTTCTGGTCTTGCTTTTAATATGTCTTCTTCTGAAATCATTTCGACACGTAAGTCATGAAGAGAATTTCTTCCTGTCAAGCGCATGTAGTGATCATCCACTTTCTGCCAGTTGTACTCCTGTTCATTCCATTCGTCTGGTTCCATAATCATCGGCCAACCGCCTATACGCGATAAAGTCGCAATTAGCGGAGCGAAACCTTGTTTGTCCATCGCGTCTGTAAACAAAAAAATTGTCGATCAGGTAATCAGTACATTATTTTTTAATTGGGAGAAATTGTTACATAATATTAAGTTTTCCAAAATGTAAACGGAAGTAACACAGTCGTGTTCTTGTTCAGTGCTCTTCGGTAATTTTTACCTGTGTCTTCACATGTCTGATACCATGTTTTTGCAAGTTTCACCGCAAAAAGATCGCTTTTCTCCGGTCCGGTTTTCAACATTTCTGCAATTGATTAAATTAATTATTGTACGAATGCAATGCGCGATTGATTTTCGACTCAAACCTTTTTTTTCTCAGATCACAAAATTAAAGTCATCACCTTTTATTTCTTTCTGGATCTTGGTCTGAATCACGTAAAGTGGATTCCACAAATTAAAGCGTTCGTCGATAGGAAAATGTTTCGGCCAATTTCCGCATGCGTATTCGTAAAAGTCGGTGCACGGATCCACAGACTTATTCATGCTATTTAGTAAATATTCAGCTGAACAGAGATAAAAAAAAAAAAATAAAATAAAATAAAATAAGAATAAGAAAAAACAAACGACGAATAAATTGAATTTTTATATTTTGTTTTGTGAAAGAGATTAATCGCTGCTGCAAATAAATTACCGGTGCTGTTGCATTCCTGCGTTTTGCAAACGATTCGTTTCTCCTCCTTGTTCTCATTGTCTTCTTCATTTTTCGAACCAATAGCTAATCGCGCCCGATGTGAAGGAAATCTGTGGACTTTCGATGTTGCGATATTCCATGTTAAAAAGGCGCTAATAAAAGCGCTGAAAAAAGACATTTAAAAAAGAACGAGTTGATTCGATTAATTCGTTATTATAACATTATTTTATAAAATATATCTAAAAAATTGTGACTAATTTCTATTTTGCATAAAAACACGTGCAAACACCGTCTTTTCGTTAAAAACATTGATACAATTACAAATTAAGTACTCACAGAAGGATAAACTGTCTCATGATCTCGTGCGCAGACGAATTTGCACAATTGATATAGATTTTATTTCCGCTAATAAGTAGACTATAACATTATTGTGGAATTCTAAAATGCGAATGAAACTGATTGCGACACAGCATGTTCTTTTATATAATAATACTTAAGCGGAAGGAAAAATTTTTTGCACAATGTTATTTCTTGATAGCGTGTATTAAATTGATAAAGACACATCACTCGTCCTGTTGATTTGAATTATGAGATCACGAGCTTTGAAGATACCAATGCGCTGTTTGAAAAAGAAAATTTTGTTGAAAAAGCTAGCATTTTATTCAGAAAGAAGCTTTTTTAAATTTATTAATTTAAAATTCTTAAAAGTAGAATTTAAAACAAGTGCGCGCTACCTGTGTAAAGTTTCTCGCGTACCTCGGTACACATATGTGATATGCAAAAAATTCACCATATACGTACATACTTATAATCGTCATGATACAACTGGCAAGTTATATTTTGGCGGGTAAAACTTTCGACTGCTTTCGACTTGCGGCGGAAAATGATAATATGTAATGACATCACAGAAAATGAAATTTTTTTGACAGATGAAGTAGTTAACTCTGCTCGATTGTTCGTATAAACACGTAGTGTCGCCAAAATCTACAACACCAAGTTTAGGAGAACAAAAAAATAGAATTGTGCAAAGCAATATCATTGAATTAGTTTGTTTTAAATACATCTAAGACCAAACATAACCTAATCTAACTTGTGTTTGTTGTTTGTTATTGTGTAACTCTCAAGTTTACAGTCACTTTTCACCAAAAAGATAATAATTTGATTATAAATCAGGTTTTTTTTATTAGCAACTTTTAAATACACAGATTATGATGAACTTGCCCCGAGTATTAATTGTCAGCACAAAGGAAGGAAAGGCTAAGGAAATTGCAGAAAGTAAGCATAAATTTTCATCTTATACTTCAGAGTTGATTGTATCTATTTCAGATTCTAATTCTTATATTATAATACTGTTTATCGCTGCTTGTTTCAGTCTAACATGTTTGCGGTTTGCTATTAGTCATTCTAATTCTGTGTACTTTGATTTATGTCCAACATAGATATTGGAGCTGAACAATTATCTGAGGAGGACAATGTTGTGAATTATATGTGGGACATTGATAATAAATATTACATGGCACAAGTTTTGATATGTGCTACAGAAAGCTTAGCTTGCAAACTACCAGTGGAAGAAGTTAATGCGTTGATCTTTTATCATGATCCACAGGCAGTAAGACAATATTAAGTACATAGCATTTACATTGCTGTGTTTTTATATCGATTGCTTTCTTTAGGACAAAGTGGATGAAGAACTTGAGCGTTTGGCTGCACTATCTGCATCTTTTACAACGGCAGAAATACTTTTATTTTCCTGCAGCGCGATATCTGACGCACTTCTGAGAGATAAAAGTAATAGTTGTGTAGTATAGTTGTATATTTTTTGAGTTTATTAATTTCTCTTATTTTTAACTTTGATTTATATTTCAGTATTACATTGGTGTTTGCACAATAAATTCGAATTGGTTGAATTAGAACAAACAGGAGATCCGGAACCCGATGCAGAAGGTAACAAATATGGTACTGAAAGGATTATAGAAGCTTTACATGCTCATACATGGCCTAATATTATACTTAAAGGTAAGATTATCAAAGATCGCTAAAATAACATGGGCGTAATATTTATTCTTTTATACTTTTTTTTCGATTTTGAAATTTTGAAGCTTGCACAGCATCTTCGAAACATCACAGTTCTGGTGACAGTACGAGCGAACTGATGAGAGAAATAAACTTTTGTTACAGACAAACCATGTGCAGAAGAAACATTAGAAGTAAACGAAATTGAAGAACAATTTGAGAATATTCGATTAACACGCGATCCTTCAGAAAGACTACATATGCAGGACATGTTGGGTTAGTTCCGATCTGAGTGTATTATTTTCGACAGAAGAAAATTTACATGTATGCATGAAAAAAACAATTTATTTATGTTGAACTTCTGAATGTATAATTAGATGGTATCATGGGTGAGGAAAATGCAGACTTTGGAGAATTATATGGTCAATTAATGGCTATGAAAGAACACGCAGCATCCTTACCGACTAACGAAAGACGCATAGTAGCGGAACAAGTAGTCACTGCTTTTTGGAAGGCAATGGGAGGCGATCTTCTTGAAATCGAGGATTAATTTTACGACTTTTAATTATATATATGTATTTATATGTATTTTAACATACATTGAAAGATGTTTATATATATATATTGTGAGATGTAATATATTAATTTTATCATCTTCAAATAAAGTAATCGGAAATGGTAGAACTGATTCTTATAAAGAGATTTAAGTATTTTATAAATTTTATTTTTATAGAGACATTGAAAAAATCTTCGAATATATATATATAATATTCGAAAATTATTTAGTACGTATGTTATTTTTACTTATTTCTTTTACCAGACATTTTGAATAAATATAATTATATGTTATATACTTCTAAAAATGTCTATATAATTATTCTATTGTTACATTACCTGTGAAAGTAGTTTTATATTATAACAAAACATGCAGATATATCTTCAATTTTAGTTAAATTAGTTGTGACAGTCACTGTGAGACAACGCGGATTTTGCGGAAAAAATAATTTATTATACAATGTATTCGTAACATTCTATTATCGCGATGATAAGAAACACTGTGCGATAGGTAACAGTTATTCCTCGTATCTGGATCTGCACTATTGTTTGTTTATCGTAAGCGCCAGCCAGGAAGATGCATCCTCTATCAAGTTGCTCTCTGCGTATCATCAAGGTCTTTCAAACCCTTTCCGCTAAAAGTATATACATATGTATAAATATATATGTAAAAGTATCTGTAGCGCAGTGCAGTATAAAGCATTATTATTGCATAGTGTAAGTTTATCGCAATCTCGGCCGCACATTTTTCGGAACACGATGCGGCTTCTTTTTCTGTGAGTAATTTCCCAAAACATATTGTATACAAACGTTGATTAGAAGATGCTCACATATAAGAGTTCATTTAACGTCTCATAGACGCGTTCCGTTTGTGTGAAATTAGGATAGTCATTTTTTAAGACACTAACAATAAGTGACGTGTTAATCCTAACGTTGTAATGTTTTTTTTATTGTTATCGCATTTTCTAGCGCCTTTATTGGCGTAATGCTGACAAGAAATGTCGCGCCGTCGATACTGCGTGGATATCCCAGACGTCTCGAGCGGGTGGACGATCCGCCTGATAACAAATCAAGTCAATCGAATGAAACCAAAGAAGATTCGTCGAATGTGTGCAAAACACAAGAATGCGAGAAAATGGGTAATTTATCATAGAAACGACGATAGTTAAAACTAGTTTTTATAAAACTAGTTTTATTCAGCTATTCTCTGTGTGTTTTTGTTTGATCGTAGGTAAATTAATATCGGAAAGCTTGGACAAATCGGTGGATCCGTGCGACGATTTCTACGAATACGCTTGCGGAAATTGGGCGCAACATAATCCCATTCCGGAAGGGGAGATCATATGGAACTTAATCCGCATACTTCAACAAAAAATCAAAGACGAGAGAAAAGGTAATCATTCAGTTTTCTTGTATGTTGTATTAAAGAGATTTTGAAATCACAATATTTCTTGAAATACTAATAAATTTCAGAAATTTTGGAAGTCGGACCTAAGGCTAACGACGTTTTAGCGATGAAACTCGCGAAGAAATGGTATACGGTTTGCATGGACACAGGTGAAATTAAATACACCGTACATATTGTTGACAAATATGTTTTCTTTGTGTTACGCAAGAATTAAATATTTATAGACGAAATGGACAAGCGAGGGATCGAGCCGATAATCTACACTTTAGCGCGTATAGGCGGCTGGCCGATGATAATGGATCCGGAAGAATGGGACGAGCAAGAGTACAACTGGCAAAAAGTGGACGATCAGTATATGCGTTTAACGGGAAGAAATGCTTTTCACGATGTCCAGGTTTTTAACGACTGGAGAGAAAATGATACTCTGAAAATATATGTATGTAAAAGCGGTACTTTTATCATTACATATATGACCTATTATATTTTCATCTTTCGTGTGATGCTGTATCTTTAGATTCTCACTCCGCATTTATCTCCGGGCCCAGATCTATTGTTGGACGGAGAGTCAGATAGCGACGAGGACGATGAGGACATGTCTGATGAAGATTCGAGTGACGAAAACAAGCAAAGCGACGAGGATGACGAAGAGCCTGGAAGCGAAAGAAGCAAAGAAAATCGCGATGACGATGACAATGACGATGATGATAATGACTATAACGAAGACGATGACGATGACGATGAAAACGCTAAGAAGAAGATCAATATGAAGAAAAACAGAATTGCTCGTAAGAAAAGTAGAAAATCAGAGCACGGTAGAACGAAAAAAAATAACGTTCAACTTCCTAAGCACAATAGTCATAAAGTAAAAAAACAGAGAATAAAAAGGCAAGCTAATACGGTAGAAGCTTTCAATAAATTTGCGCGAATTAATTATCGCGATGTGTTACGCGCACGATTGAGCAGGAAAAATCGCATGAACAAAGAACAAAGGGAAAGGACGAAAGAAACTTCGGACGAACAAACGAAAGCCACGACATCAGCACCGCAAGTTACTACCGAAGAAACGAGAGAGGAAATTATACTGAGATTACGAGAAAAGTACGCAAGTTACATTTCGAAGATAGCTCGTGCTCTAGCTAGAGCAAGAGGCACCGCCGTTTCTGAAGATCACATTGATAAAGATATTCAAGACATGATCGATTTCCAAATTAAGTTAACCAAGGTGAGCATCAGTTTACTTTGCTCGAGTATATGAGAAAATGAGAATAAAAATGTTTCTCGAAAAGTTTTGAAATATATTTATTTTAATATTTAATGTTAATATTGTATATATTTCTTAACACACACAATTGTAGATTAGTGCAAAACCTGAATTTGATGAAAAAGAAATGACGCTTAATGACCTCCAAGCTTGGTATGATGAGAAGAAACATAATACGGATCATAGTGAAGTGAGATATATTGTATTTTAACTAAAAAATTCGCAATTTTTCTATCATTTATTATTCTCAACACCCGCTTCTTTGATCTGATTAAAAGACAATAAGGAATATCGTAGGTTGATTGGGTGTACAAAATCGCAAAACTGTTTGACGAGGCCAGTGTTCCCGTCGATGGTGATTTAAATGTAGACTTTGTCTCTCCGAGTTACTTTGAAGCTCTTATCTCATTGCTGGATGAAACGCCAAGTCGTGTTATTGGTGAGTTGAGAAAAAAAATGCGTATATTTATTATTATTAACGACATATCAAAAATAGTAACGCAAAATATATACGTTAGTGAACTATATACACTGGAATTTTGTGAGCCGAGTAATAAGGACTACCACCAAAGAAATGAGAGACTTGGACGATTCACGGAAAAGCATATATCAAAGAATAAGAGATAGGTTTGATGAAATTTTTTATTGCTGATACATATAAACAATATGATTAGCCGCTTCATGAAAAATAAAACATATATTTTTTGTATTATTTTGTTTTGTTAATATCATAGTTTTTCCAAATGACACAAAAAGCAAATTTTATTTAAACTTAAATAGTAAAAACAGTATTTAATTATTCACAAATATTGTCAGACCGTCTATGTGCATAAGAGAAGCAAACATGGACGATATTTTAGGATACGAATTCGTGCGGGAACATTTCCCCGATGACGTCGCTCAAACAGTAAGAATATTATATTTATTAGTAAAATCGAAAAAATATTAGATTGTCTAGCGTCTGTGTTTTCCATATTTGTGTAACATTTAAGCTATAGGTGTGTTTTGTCAACAGGCAAAGGACATGATCGACGATATACAAAAAGAGATCGAATATCAAATCGAGGAATCAGATTGGATGAACGAAGATACCAAGGACTTTGTTTTAGCAAAATTAGTGAATATGAAAAATCATATTGGCTATCCAGATTGGTACAAAAATGATACAATTGTTAAAAGATATTTCCAAGGAGTAAGTTTTCTTTGAAGTGATACACAAAAAATATATTTTCTCTCTCTTCTTTCCTTATATTTTAATAAATACTTCATCTAATTGTGTCTATATACAGCTTATTATTTGCAATTCATATTACGAGAATGTAATCAGTTACGGAAGATACGAAAAGTGGAAGCAACTGCGACAATTGAAAAACAACGATCGTGACATGTGAGACAATAGATTAATATTTAATCATATTTCTTTTTCCCTGCGTATTTAAAGAAATTATATGGTTTTCAATTTTCTTAAGTTGCAAACAGACTTTTTAGTCAATCCATTTTGTATTACAGATGGAAGTACATGACTCCTATGACAGTGAATGCGCTATTTATGCCAGACACAAACTCTATAAGTAAGTAACAGTTTTGGCAAAATTAAATTTTTATTTTTACCAGACAAATATATTTTTAAACTTTCAAACAAATTTCCAATTATAGTTATAGTTTTATTATTAATAATATGTATTAATATAAAATTTGCTTTCCCAAATAATAGCTATTAAGTTTTTCAGTATTTTATTTTGTTACTAATATGTATCGACCTTTCTATAATAGCTTTGACGGCGGCAGATTTTCAGAGCCCATTTTTTGCTTACGATCGTCCACAGTAAGTAAATAATTGTCAATCAAAAAAATTTTCTGCGTGATATATTATGTTCACTGTTTATTAAATCATTTTTTATTTTTCTTACGTTATTAAAGTTACTAAAACCAATCTTCTGTCTATTAATAACAATAATCTATATTTATTTATACAGAGTTATTAATTATGGTATAGTTGGAAGCATCATCGGTCATGAAATTAATCATGGATTTGATAACAACGGTATGGCGTAACGTATATTATTCCACTAAAAACATTTTCTATTTTTTTATTTCTGTAATATTTTTTAAGAAGTTTTGAAAATAATTGTTAGGACATTCTTATGATAAAAACGGTGTGTTAACCGATTGGTTATCTGCAATGACCGACGCGTATGGCAAAAGAGCGGAGTGTTTTGTGGAACAATACAATAATTATGCTGTCGACGAAGCAGGAACAAAAATAGAGGTTTGTTTTCCATTTTAAATAGTCATTAGAGATATTACATACATGTCGTGTAAAATGCTTGATCATACTCTCGCAAAACTGTTAGAATTACGGCAATCAAACGGCGGGCGAGAATATCGCAGATACAATGGGATTAGAAGCAACGTATAGAGCTTATCTAAGAAGAGAAAGAGAGTGTGGAAAATCAGATACCGTATTGCCGGGGTTGGAAAATGTTACTCACAGTCAACTTTTCTTCTTATCCTTTGCCAGTGTAAGTAGAATATTGTTGTAGATGCGAATAATGATAATGTAAGAATAATGAGATGAGTGTTAATATAACGTGATATGTTTGCGTAGGTATGGTGCGAGTCTATAGACGAATCAAAAGTTGATCTTGTGGCCCAAAGGACCAAATTTGATTCTCACAGCATTGGGCGTTTGAGATTAATAGGATCTCTTTCAAACTCGGAGAACTTTGCCAAAGCTTTCAACTGTCCAGTTGGCAGCGCTATGAATCCTGAAAAGAAATGCAATATTTGGAAATAAATAATATTAATTTTTAACAAAAATGAAGATGTTTAGCATAAAATATATCTACTTCTACGTTCTCTATCCACTTTTATGTAACATGAATAAATAAAGTGACGCATATATAAATAAATGATCACATTTTTTAATCTTTATTCTAAAATTTTTATTTTTGACAATTGTCAAGCGTTAGTCAGTCAGTCATAAATTAAAAAACCTTTCTTTTATCAAAGCAAAATAATTACGAGTTTTCATTATTCCAACGCATGTTTGATTAATCCAGATAGACATAGAAGTAATGAAATAGAAATGAAGTAAAAGTTAAATGCTTACATACTGAATTTTTTTGAGAAGTTTATTTTTTTAGCAACAGAATCATCTAATTTGAAAGAACAAGAATAAATTGTAGTTATAAATACAATTTTTAATATTTTGTAACGCAACGTTTTTCTATACTTGACTCATAACTTTGATATGTTGTTTATGCGACCAATAAAGTTGGTATTATTATTATTATTATTAAATATGATAATCACCGTGTGTGAAACGTAGAGATAGAGATGTTGCGGGAAGTATAATTTATTATGTAATGTACACGTGTACGCACGTGTCAATCTAAATGGATGTACGTAACATTTCATTGCCAGAATGATAAAAATTAAGCGATACTGTGATAAAATTATTTGATATAACTGAAACCGCATTATTTTGTTATCTTAAATGTCAGTCGGGAGGATAGATGCATCCTCAACCTTCGGGTCATATCAGACAAACAAGCGTATATCATCAAGGTTCTTCCGTCTAAAACATACATATATATAAGCAAATAATTTTTCCATTGCAGTAGAGAATTATTGCTCCATTAGTGTTTATTTCGATCGCAAAGTTTTTGTGAGGAGACATGAGACTATTCTGTTTTCTGTAAGTAATTCGAAAGAGTTATGAAATATAAGTAAACAAAGTAATGTTTCAAACATTCTGAATAACTAACATTGTTTTTTTTGTTAAAAAACATCGTGTATTGCATTTATTTTTAGAATGTTTAGAACTTTTATATTATTTTCTTATTTTTTTCGAATCCTTGTCTAGCGTCTTTATTGGCGTATTTTTAACGAGGAATGTCATACTGTCGTTACACCGCAAACATCCTACACATCTGGAATCGTTGTTTGGTTTGACCGATTCAAATGATACCAAGACGAAAGAAAATTCGCCGAACGTGTGCAAAACACAAGAATGCGATAAACTCGGTATTTATTTTACTGCGATAACTGTATGATAGTTTTCTTTTTTTTTTTTATCAACTGCACTAAAATCAGTTTTTTAATTTTTTTTGTTTTTTTGTTTTAGGTAAGGAACTAGCAAATAATATAGACAAATCCGTGGATCCGTGCGACAATTTTTACGAATACGCTTGTGGAAAATGGCCGGAAAATAATCCCATTCCAGAAGGATATACATCGTGGAGTCTGTTCCAGGCAGGTCAAAAACAAGTCGACGACCGAGTACAGGGTAATTGTCTGATCTGTAAATTTAATGTAAATCTCGCGGGATAATCACCGCGACAATATTAAATTTCAGAAATTTTGAACGCCGGACCTCAGGAGAACGACGTCTTAGGAGTGAAACTCGCGAAGAAATGGTATGCAACTTGCACGGATACAGGTGAGCAAAGACACATCACATTAGTGAAAATCAACATATAACATCCTCGATGTAAAAAAACGTGTTTTTCTCGTTACGCTGTTATTAAATGTTTACAGACGCGATGGAAAAGCAAGGAATCGAGCCGATAATCTACACTTTAGCGCGTATAGGCGGCTGGCCCATGATAATGGACCCGGACGAATGGGACGAGCAAGAATACAACTGGCAAAAAGTGGACGATCAATATATGCGTCTAACAGGAAGAAATAATTTTCACGACGTGCGCGTGGGCAGGGACTACAGTTCAAATGACACATCAAAAATAGTGATGGTACGAGAAAAAGTGCATATAATTATTGTATGCATTATACTGTTCGCAAATAATGTTGTTGTCTCTCATATTATCATTCGTCATCGCCGATTGACATTTGTTGTTTCCTTATGTGAATCTAAAAATTTCTAGATTGACACTCCGCATTTACCTCCGGGCGCGTATCAATTGTGGATCGGAGGGATACTAGATAGCTTCGAGAACCTGTCTGATGAAGATCCGAGTGACGAGAACAAGCAAAGCGACGAGGATAACGAAGTGCCTGGAAGCGAGGGAAGTGAGACCGAAGATGACGATGACGACGATGATAATGATGATAACGACGACGATGATGATAATGATGTTGACGATGACGATGACTATGACGACGACGATGAAGATGAAAGCGCTAAAAAGAAAATCAGTACGAAGAAAAACAGAATTGCTCGCAAGAGAAACAGAAAATCAGAGCATCACGGGAAGAAAAAAAAGAATGTTCGACCTTCTATCAAGCACAGTAGTCATAAAGTGAAAAAACAGAGAACAAAACGGCAAGCTAACATGGCAAAAGCTTTCAAAAAATTGACGCGAATTAATCATCGCGGTGTGTTACGCGCACGACTGAACAAGAAAAAACGCTTGAACAAAATCCGAAAGGTAGGATCAACAGAAACTTCGGACGAACCAACAAAAGCAACAACAACATCGGCGCCGCAAATTACTACCATCGAAGAAACGAGCGAGGAAATTGATTGGAATACTCGAGAAGATTACGCAAATTATATTTCGGAAGTAGCTCGCGCTTTAGCTAAGGGAAGACACACTGGTGTTCCTGAAGATCATATCGATAAAGACATTCAGGACATGATCGAATTCCAAATAAAGTTAACCGACGTAAGTATCAGTGTTTACATAGGTTGAATATTGGAAGATGAGTGACGAGTTGTTTATGATATACTTATCCAAATGTTTACTAAAATTGAGTTTACATATAATATTGTAGCTTACTCTGGAAGCCGATGACGATTTAGAAATGACGCTTGATGACTTTCAAAATTGGTATGATGAGCAAAATCCTAAAACGGATCACAGTGAAGTGAGTTTTATACACTTTTATAATGAATTTAATTCACGAATTTTGTATAAATTGCAATATTTATACAAGCTTTTTATACAATTGAGAGAAAATGTAATGAGAGAGATTGTAAAATGCGCCGTAGATTAATTGGGTGTACAAAATTGCGGAAATATTTGACGAGGCAAGTGTTCCCGTTGATGGCGATCTAGATGTACAAGTTGGCTCCTCGGATTACTTTAAGGGTCTTATCTCGTTGCTGGATGAAACGCCGAGTCGTGTTATTGGTGAGTACGGAAAATTATTGCGGTAATAAGAATATCAAAAACATATATAATAATTATAAATTATATTTTAGTGAATTATATACACTGGAATTTTGTGAGCCAAGTAATAAGAACTACCACAAAGAAAATGAGAAAATTGTACAAGAAATGGGAGAATGAAGACGTGGAAGAAGAAACGGAAAAGGAGAGAAGGTTGATGATAACTCTTTTTTATTAATTATTGTGTTTGTTAATGTTATTGTATTTAGAACAAAATATATTTTTGCGTCAGATCGTCCGAGTGTAAGTGGGAAATAGAAGAAATGGGAGACATACTAGCGTACGAGTATGTGAGAAAACATTTCTCTGATAACATCACACAGACTGTAAGAGCGCGCCTACCGTATATATTATTTATTTATAAAATCAAGGAAATTTATACGTACGTTTTTGTTAACTGTACGTTTTTTTTATTGCAGGCACAAGATATGGTTGACGATATACAAAAAGAAGTCGAGTATCAAATCAAGGAATCAGATTGGATGGACGAAGATACCAAGGACTATGTTTTAGCAAAATTGTTGAATATGAAACAATATATTGGCTATCCGGAATGGTATAAAAATGACACGATTATTAAACGATATTTCCAAGGAGTAAGTTTTTCCGGCAAAATAATTTATTATATTGGAATATTTACAGTATAACTATACATTATGTGATATGAATTCTGTTCATTTATTTTTGTTTTGTTAATTAAAGCTCATTATCTGCAATTCGTATTACGAGAATGCGCTCAGCTACGGTAGATACGGTAAATGGAAGAGTCTGCGAAAATTGATTAAAGATGATGATGATATGGACATGTAAGATAGTTTTATATTTAATGATTTGTTCGCGTATATATTTAACAAATTATGTGCTTTTTATTCTACAATTCGTCGTTTAATTCGCAAATTTTCATACGTGACACAAGTTTCTGTATTCCAGATGGTGGATGAGTCCTTTGGTTGTGAATGCGTTCTTCGATCCGATGGAAAATTCTATAAGTACGCAAGTTCTTTTTCGCAAAACTAAATTTTCACAACATTTTACTTTATTAATATTTATCTGTTTTCTATAATAGCCATCATGGCGGCAGATTTCCAGAGTCCATTTTTCGCTTATGGCCGACCACAGTAAGTAAATATTTGTTATTATATATATAGATAAATATCAACATGTGGGAACGCACGCATGTTTAATGTGTTTACGAAAAAAATTGTATTATATCTATTTTAAGTCTGTTGTAGGTGCTTTAAAATTATTTTTTTTATTTGTTTTTATAGAGCTATTAATTATGGTATAATTGGAGTCATCATGGGTCATGAAGTGAACCACGGCTTCGACAACGATGGTATGTCGGAAGATATTACCACATTCTTAGACACTGTTTTACTTGTCGAAAACTGTATATTTTTACGCGACATAACAATATTATTAATATTTATTTTCTAAATCAGTTTTTGTAATATTTCGAAAATAATGTTTAGGAGTTTTGTTCGACAAGAACGGTAGGTTCGTCGATTGGCTGTCCGCAATGGCCGACGCGTATGGCAAAAGAGCGGAGTGTTTTGTGGAACAATACAATAATTATGAAATTGATAAGGAAGGAACAAAAATAAGAGTATGTTGTCTATTTTGTATTTAAATTATTGTTTTATTTAAATAAACGTGAATGATAAAATGATGGTTAATATTGGTGGAAAATTGTTCTAGGATTATGGCAACAAAACTGCGGGTGAAAATATCGCGGACACAATGGGTCTAATCGCAGCGTATAGAGCTTATCTGAGGAGAGAAAGAGAATGCGAAAGACCAGATACCGTATTGCCAGGTCTGGAAAATATTACCAACGATCAACTTTTCTTCTTATCCTTCGCCAATGTAAGTAGTTTCAGGTGTAAAGAATTATATAAAAAGTAAATTGTATATAAAGGCGAGTAAATATACAAACGTTGATGTTTATGAAGATCTGGTGCGAAGTTGACGATGACGTTGGCATAACAGCCGCATTTGACTCTCACAGCACCGGACGGTTGAGAGTAATAGGGACTCTTTCAAACTCGGAGGACTTCGCCAAGGCATTCAACTGTCCAGTTGGCAGTCCAATGAATCCCGAAAAGAAATGCAATATTTGGAAATAATATTATACCTTACACACATTGCAGGTATCTACGTCAATCGCGTACAAAAAGATGTTTGGCATAAATCTCTTTGTTTACTTGTATTATAAATAAATAAAGTAACGCACGTACCAGTTTTTGCACGCTTATTTTAGAATGTCGCAACTTGAATTCTTGACCATGAACGAGAAAAAAATGTCATATTTGAGCAAACTCATACATATTTATTTGATCAGTCAGTTATTGTGCAAGTGAATTGAAGATAAGACAAATAAGAGATAAAGATGAGTATTAGCAAAAAATGTTTATATTGATAGTTGCAATATACATAATTAATATAGCGATTCTTTACAAAGAACTTTTGCGTGTTTGACTAATGATATGTTTGTTGGCAGAGAATCCTTATAAATTCTATACTCTATTGTAGCGCGTTACTTGTCGTGGTTTACTTTGTAAAATTTAAAAACATAAAATACATGTACGTTTCTTAGACGGAATGACGCTAAAATTATTTTTTTTTTTATTCAGAACACAACAGTTTGCCGTCAATTATTAATTTGTTTTAAGCAAGAGCGCTCGAGTTAGCGATTTTGCGATTAAAGTTCGCAAACAAATAGATTAATTAATTAATGTATAGATACTTAATTAAGTTTTCGGATTCGGTCCGATGAGCATTGCGTTTACGCCATTGTTCACTGCAGGCGTTCAATGAACTGCACGTTGGCAGACATCTAAAATACGGTCAGACGAGAATCGAGTACATGTTTTTGAAAGTAATACCGACGTTAAATTCCTTAAATTAATGTCATCCGTTTTGCTTCTCGTGTACGCCGTTCTGCTTCTCCTGCAGTTTCAACGGTTTTATCACCTCCACATCGTTCAGTTGTATATCCAACTGCTGCTTGTTCTTCTTCGATAATTTTCTAAAAAAGATGTTTTTAACCACGCGCGTTACTTGTTTGTCGAAAATAAATAAAATATATATTTGCAAAACAAAGCGTTAAAAATCGGAAAACTTACTTTCCGAAAAGTTCGCCGTCTTGAATTGTTTCGGGAAGTTTTTTGTTCAGCGTCTCGGGAAGAAGAAGAGACATCAATCCTCCGAACAAGGCGCAAGACCCGAAAATGACGAGCGGTAGCGGCATCCATATTTCCGACTGAATCACATTTTAATTATTTCATGTAATGTATATGACGCGTGTTTGTGTTTCTACTTCGGCGCTATCCATTTATGTTCTTGTTTCTTTCAATATTGACACAGATGTCAGCTACTAATACATATAATGCACAACATACCAGATGATTTACATACGGCGCGATCACTCCGCCGATACGAGCAAAGGTGGAACTCGCGCCCAGTCCCACGTTTCGAATGACAGTCGGATATTGTTCAACGGTGAACACATAAATTGCACCGTAAGAAGACGTGATAGCAAGTTTTCCTATCATTGCTAAACATACGATTAGCCACGACATATCTGAAAAAATATAAAATATTTAGGTTTTTACAAGTTTTCTCATTTTTACGTACGTAAACACATAGTTTTGCAAAAGAAAAAAAATAACTGGCGAGCAAAATTGTGTTGCGACAATCAAAACTTGCCGGAAGGAACAAATAACGTGGCTATCAACGCCAATCCGGACAACATCATGCAGCCGCAAAGAATGATTTTTCTGCCCCAACGATTCAGAGTGAAGATCAGAAATGTGTACGCCGGTATTTCCACCACTCCAGAAATTACAAAATTAACGTAGTCGTTACCGCCGAGATTGGACGCGTGCCAGGACAGTCCGTAGTACATGCCGCTGTTGACGAGCCTGCGAAAAAAAATCTAAGCTCAGCGCAAAGTTCTGTTCAAAAATCACAAGACACGTAAGCAAGAAAATACGATCGTTCACCAGTTGAAAAACAGGACGATGCTTTTCCGCCTCAAGTTCGGATAGCGGAACAGATCGAAGAGCGACGGCTTTCTCATGTCGGGTTTGCTATCCTCGCTGTTATTGTTTAGCAAAGTATCCAACATTTCGTCGGGCATCTCCACGCCGTTCTCCAGCGAGGCGCGTTGCAGCAAGTCTTTCGCTTCCTGATGACGGCCCTTCGTCAGTAACCATCGCGCGGATTCGGGAATAAACCTATCCAGAATTGGATCACCTTGTGATTGAATTGTTTCTGACATCCACACTGCAACTACCATTTGTTATACATGGGATATTTAGTTATTCACCGTACCACCAGTAAAGTAGAAACGCGATGCTCGGTACCGTGAGGGCGATCTGCAGCATTCTCCAGTTGGTAATGAAATAAGCGAACCCGGCGGTAAGTATGTACCCGGTGGTGAAGAACAATTGACAACCGACTCCGGCAACTAATCGCTTCTTCGGTCCTACCATCTCCAAAGCTGCAACGTACAAGCGTGTGTTTTCGTTATTGAACTCGACCGAAAACTTGGCAGTGTGATAATAAACGACAAATAAATCACTTATCGACAATTAAACTTCTGGATTACCTATGACGTAAGCTACTAAGAACACGCCACTGGTGGTGGAGCCGACAATTAGCCTGAAGATAACGTAGGAAATAAACTCGGGCGCGACAGCGACTAGTAAACCGCCGATCAGCTGTACGACTAAAGACAGGAAGAAAATTGGTCTACGGCCGTATTTATCAGACAAAGCGCCGAATATTATCGAGCCAAGCATGACTCCTACCATGAACAACGAGTCCCCCGTTGCTCTCAGCCACGCTTTGTCGCAGACCAAGTCCCACTGCAAAAAAAAAAAAAAAAAAAACAAACCACATGTGTTATTTTTCCGGAACGTTTACTTTGCAACTTACGACTATGAGAAAATTATCACAAAAAGTCTCACTGGCACGTAATGACTGAATAATCGTTATATTTCGTACCTCAGAAGTGGTTGTGCTCTTGTACACGCTTCTGTCGTACACGTACTGCTGACAACGGCTGATTCCACCGCCAACGATCGTGCCGTTCACGGAATCAGGTAGATCACGTTTCATACACTGGGACCAGTTTTTGAGTTCGGGATCCCACGGATAACTCACGTTTATTACATCCTGGCTCAGATGGAACGTCGCGTTTTCCGCGTTTTCGTGCGGAAGCAAACATCTGAGAGCAAAAATTACATCTCGATTTATCGTCTCGAATTTCGTCGTTAAACATCCATCCGTAAATAAATTAATTCGTCGCGATCACATACCTCATGTTCATTTTAGCGCCGAGGAACACGCCGGCTAGTTTGTGAAAGGCGCAAGATATCAGTGGAAGACAGAGCAGAAGGTAGACTCTGCGCTGGTAGTGACCGAACTCGCCCATGCGAAGGATAACATCGTCGTACGCCATTTTTTCGCGCGACTCTCCGTGTATTTTTTTTTTGTTAAAACCTCTTCAACAACTCGCGAGGGAGTTGTTTCAGCACCTCATCGAACAATATAATGTATCTTTGGAAATTGGCGCGCGCGTTTCGGCTCGCGATCGATCGATCCTAGCGATCCTAGTGTTCCGTCGAGATAATTCGTTTTTATCTCGTGTCACGAAAATCTCTTCATCGTGGCATACGTGGGAATTGCTGCAGGAAGGACGAACAAGTGCGACGTGATGTCGCACACAAACACGGTTTACGAAGACAATCCTTTTGAGATATTTCTAACAGGAATATTCATGGACGGTCGAAACGGTCCGTTTTAGGCTTTCGAAAACGTTTCCTTCAAAATCGGCAGAAGTGTGACAACTGGAAAAAGAAATTAATTGTGTGATACCAATTAGAGATTGTTAATTTAAAATCCAAACAAGATTTCAAATCATAATAATATCGACTTACTACTCGATGCCGATTAGTCGAAAAAATTCAATAAAAAAAAAAAAAAAAACAATATAAATATAAATAACAAGATACTATCGTGACAAAAATAAACTCAAATATTGAATGACAAGTCGCAACATATAACAGAAACATGTATACGCCATGTAATACTTTACGATCGCGCGTGTACGATGTAACGCGATAACGGTGTCAATGAAAGAAAGAAGTTTGACAAGTTATGAAGTTTGATATCGAACGCATCATCATGCGTTTATGCGTGTGGCGCTCATAATTGCGCGCGCATGTGTGTGTGTGTGTGGTGCGCGCACGCATATTAAACTGTGCTCAGAGTAAATAAATCCACGATCAAACGATCCGTATAACTCGTGATACAATTGATTACAATTGTTGGAAACAAGATACACACTGGAGAGAGGAACAGCGAGTTGTGTGTGTGAGAAAGGAAGCGGCAATTTTACACGAACGAAAAAATAAAATTCTCTCGCGAATTTGTTGACAGAGCGCAAAATTGATAACGATGGAACGACGGATCCGAAGCGGAGATCGAAGTCGAATCAATATGATTTAATTACTCGAGTAAAAAAACAAGAAAAAAATAAGAAGTACGTTGATATTTCGAGGTAAGAAAGTTCTTTAAAAATAGAAATAATTTTCAAAAACAAAAAGATAGGGAGGAGGCAATAACGAAATAATTTTTAGCGAACAATGCTCTGTGTGTGAGGCGAGGATTTTTAAAACACATCTAACAGTTGAATTATACGCAACAAGCACCGTTTACCGATTTAGCATAAAATTACAATATTGTGCACGGGTCACGCATACAAAATCGCGCCACACTATCGTTTACGTGGCCACATTATATACTTATCATATATATATATATATATATATAATATATATATATCTGATAACACACCGCTCACATTTGAACAATCGGATAGCGACTATATATATATATATGTACAGAGAGAGAGTCTATTATATACGGACCAGAATAGACGAACGAGTCGTTTGTCTCCGAACAAACCCGATTTCTCGAAATGTACACGCAAACCGGAATGGACGACGACGGAACAAGTCCCGGACTCGATCAACAATCCTGCACGCGCCGAAGACGGATGGAAACTGACCACATGTTTCTTTCAAGGAACGGTTTCAAGCCGGCGTAGCCGGCGTATGCGGCGCGATTTTCGATCCAGGCTCGGCTCAATTCGGCCGAAGTCGATTCGGCTCGACTCTCGATTCGGCCTGTCCCGAGGAATGGCTATGCGAGAATTTCAGCGCGTCGTCGCGCCACTTGAATAGTCGAGGAACGTTTTTTTTTCTCTCTTTTCTCACAAGCGCTTCCTTTCGTTTTCAGATAAAAAAAAAGGCGAATTCGGATTTTTTGTCAACTCGGAATCGGAACTCATTAGAATTCTGACGTGTTCGTTCGCCGAGCGTGAGAAACAAAGCGCGTTTCTCGCTTTTCCTGTTTATTTTATTTTTATTTTTATTTTTTTTCAAGTCGTTCTGACCGCGCGCGCGCTTTACAAGCTTCTTTTTTCCTTTCGCATTCATTACGCGTTTTATCGCATGCCACGCCGCCTTGTTGTACGTTGATGCGTTTCGCAGACATGCGTCTCCCCCTCTCCAAGCGTTCTGTCGCGTCTTCTTTTCGCGGCTAACAAGCGTGGATCAATCATCGGCAATTACAGGGTTCTTTGTACTCCGGGCCGTGCGGTTTTTCCGTGTCTAACGACCCAGGACGACGATTTCAAAACGCACATATCGGTCAACACCTTCGTACCGCACAATGTCTCATTTGGCGAGAGAGAGAAAAAGACTCGTCTTCTGGAGTTGTCTGTGCGCAAGGTTGACTTAACTCGGGTTGATATGAAGCGACGGGAACCTTTACGTCTTTGCGTTGCAACATTCCGTCTTTTCTTCACGTCCTTCACGAGTTTTTTTCCTTCCTTGAAATATTGTGTGCATTTTCTCCGCACGACCGACTCTTTCTCCCTCAGGAAATCCTCGTCCGCACGAGGAAAACCGGTCGATGATTTATGACGCGCGACAAAATGCGCGATAATCGCCAGCTGTCTGAAAACAGAAAGATTAGAAGCGGCTTTTCCTGATTTTTTTTTTGCGTTTATCAGCAAAGACAGATTGTTTAAACGCATACCTCGCGATTGTCTTCTTCGTCAGCTTCGTTCGAAACTCGTTTCCGTCCATTGCGTTCCTTCACGTTGCGACGCGTGTTAGTTTTAGTTAAAATATTTGTTTACATTTTTGCATGACGAGCTATTTTACCGATCGATCGATCGATCGATCGTAATTCGTGAACGAAGTTTCGAAGGAAAACCAAAACCAAATCCTGTTCGTTTCGATAATTAACCGTTCTAATCTCTTCTGCGTACCGAAGTTCGTTGCTTCGCTCTTAAAGCGGACCCCAATCAATCTTGACACACGCGAGAGATATCTCTCCCTTCTCGCCTAATAAAAATTCCGATGCGGATCACGCGAGGCCTCTTCTCTCTTACTCTCTCTCTCTCTCTCTCTTTCGAGAGAGAGATATCTTTCGCTTCCTTCGCGCGCGCATATATCAATGCTCTCCCATCTCTCTGTCCCTTATTTAGTTTTTTTGTTTTGTTTTCTTTTCTTTTTCGTCCAACTGGCCGTTTCATCTTGCGAATGAGGGAACGAAGCCCTCTCGCGCTGAAGAGATAAGCTGATTATTTTGCGAGCTACGAGAAATGATCGTTATAAAAGGAGGCGGCGCGTCTCGGTGCGGTGCCGGTCTCTTCACCATCGTCCAACACCACCATCGCCGCCGCTGCCGCCGCCGCCGCCGTCACCACCATCACCCACCACCATCGTGGGCCACCACCACGGCGCAATATCTCTCGTCGGCGGCCAAGAATGAACCCGAAGGCTATTTATAGTAGGGAGCGGCTTCTAGTTCCCTCCGCGTGAAAAATCGCAACTGGTTTCTTGCGAGTGCGAATGGAAGGAAGAGGGAAAGAAATGAATACCTGTGTGTGCGTGTGTGTGTGTGTGTGTACGTTTCAACAGAAACGTTTTAGCGCTGGCCGGCATTAGCGCGTCTCGGACATGATGTTGCCGGCAATCCAGTAATGGGTTGCCCCGCTGGAACGCGCGCCTTTTTTTGTTTTTTTGTTTTTCTTATTTCGCGATGCGCGCGATAAGTCTCGCAAACAAATTAAACGATCGGTAATGGGTGAAGCAAAACAAGTTGTTTTGTTTTTTTCGTTGAATATTGTTAATTAAATAACGATCATAATTATGTCAACACTCTCTCTCCGATATCGCCGTTTTTTTCACACGAGTCGCGTGATCTTTAATCTTCGAGTCGCGTGTGTCAAAGGAGAGAAGATTTTACACGAGACACACGTGAGAGAGCGTGTGAATTCGCAATTCTCGCGTTTATATTCGGCGCTTGAAAATGTCAGAAAAATGAACCGTTCAGCTGTTCGAATTGCTGGCAGAGAGCGCGGCTGCACTGCTTGTTCGCGCGCGCGCGCGCGCAGAAACGCGTCTTCGTTTGAAGAATTTCCGAACGACGCGTTTGCATGAAAAGAAAAATCTCACAAAAGATCGGTCGGGATAAATTTCACATTTTTCACACTCGCGCGGAAAGAAACTTCGATCGATCTTCGATCGGTTTAATGAAATAACGTCTGGGTTTCTTTTTCCGAGGGAACGTCTTCTTGCGCGCACTCTCCCTCGTGAAGGCGAATCCATAATTCGTCTTGGACAACACAAAGCTGCTCTTAGGCGGAGGCCTGTTCCTACGGACGCAAGGAAAGGGGAAGGTCGCGGATACACAGCGGACGGAGTTGTTGCTCTCTGAATGTTGTGCCGGGTCCGAACCGGGGAGCCAGAGCGGATCTCAGGATTGTCCCTCGAATAATATGTGTGTCTCTTCTTTCCAAAAGAAAAGACAACGCCGCTCGTGTCTCCGCGTCTCTCCACCGTTCATCTCTCCACCCGAGAGATTAATTTCGCGCATGAATTACGAAATATTCTATGACGAACACACGCAGAGCATGTTTGATCGTCGAAAATTGCGCTATTTTCGGCTTCAAGCGTGAGAATCAACGTGAGCTCTTTACCTGTGTGGCACACTTTAAGATCATCACTCAAATGTGTAAACGGAACATCGTACACCGCGATCCGCGAGATTGAAGAGTGATTCTTGAAGAATCTTCTCTTTCTCCATAACAGGGAAAGGATTGGGAAAAATATACGCGCGCGGGAGAAAAGAAGGAATTGACGTCCTTGCAAGGGCGCCACGCTGAGAGACCGACGTTCGTCTCTCCACCTTGCGTCTCCCACCCGTAATCACGCCACGAGGACAAGAAAGGGTTCGTCCCTGTTTTCAGAGCCTCCCAGCTTTTTTGTCCCATCCGAGCCGAACGCGCGTACTTGAGCGTACTTTAAGCGAAGAAAATTGTTATAGAGAGAGAGAGAGAGAGAAAGAGGATTTGCTACGCGCGCGAGGATAATGTTTCCACCAGTTTTTTTTCTTTCACAGATGCAATTTTATTCGAAGCCGCGAGATAAAACGCGAGAATTATGGCACACACGTGTATTGAATCCTCCTTTCACCTCGCCGCTCGTCAAGCTCGAAGTTTCCGAGAATTTTATCAATGACCGTCTTCAGAGACAAGATTTTTTTTTTCACGTCTATAAAATGCGTACGTACGTACGTAAAAAAAACTGGTTTCTTATTAAGGCCGTAAGCGAGAATACGCTAATTTGCAAACAAATGATCCGTCGTACATTCCGCGGCGCCGTCGCGATGCGTGCGCGTCGCGATTCTCCATAAAACGCCGCGCGCGTTCTTACGTAAGAAATACAATCCATCATCGCGATGTGTGTATGTGAGGGTTTTTGTACGGTGAGGAAATACCGCGTGCATGCGCGAGAACGCGCATATCTTTGCAAATAATTACGTTACCAACATCGCAACTCATGCATATTGGCACATACGTCGCTCGTTATTGCATCCGAAACTCGCGTCGCTATTTTACAAAACTTTGTTATTCATATTTTTGTCGCTCGGTATTTTAGCGCGGACGGTATAATGAAAATTCGCGCAAAGACACAGCGCGAATTGAAAATCATTTTAGCGCCAAAGCCGGAAGATACAAACGCGCACAAGCAACGCGCGCGTTAAATCTTCGTTCGTGAATATTTTTGTTGACATACACGGGATCGAGTCAATTTGCATTTTTCCTGAACGAGCAGCAATAATAAGCAGTTTTGTCGCTTGAGCGAAGTAAAAAATTCGAGGAACTGAATTGTCGAAGTAACCCGATAACATACAAAGCAATTATCGCGAAAGCTAATTGCGCACGCAAATTTAATTACGCGTGCAAATTAACATTTACGCGCGTGCGAAAATTTTCTCTTTTTATTTTTAAACAACTCGATCGAGTAAGAACGACAATTGTCAATTAAAAAAAAAAGAAAAAAACAAAAATGCTCTCGCCGATACGAGCGAATCAATAACAACAATCGAACGATGATGTGAGTAACGTCAGCAGCGGCGAGGAGCGGAGGAAATGCAGTTGTCGGAAGCGCGCTACGCTCTACAGCAAGGCTCTCCCATTTAACCTCCTCAGAAAATGATGGTGATGTAATTACCCGTGTATGCGATGTGCGCCCGCAAGTCCCGCTGGCTATTTACGAGATGCATGTGCGATTATTCTTAACCGGTTGTCAACGAACGTCAACTTCGACCGATAAACCATCACCGCGCGATGTGCCGGCCGGCCGCCGATGGTTGTCGCTTTTCGAACGGTACTGCCGATCGATAATAACCTTCGCCGATGGAAAGGCGCCGCGACGACACGCACTTTGCACACCCAACAACGACGTCGATCGACGCACGCTCGACCAACCACCGCCATCGAAACACACGGTTATATTTTAGGGGGAAACGCCAGTGATTACCAACGCATATTGACGAGGAACACGTGTGCCAAGTGTGTATGGTGTTACATACGAGAGGGGACGAGCGTGACGCGGAGCACGCGATTTCCGGAGCCCACGTCGGCAGCGGAAAACTGTGACCGTCCGCCCGGGCGGTGGGGTCGGAGGGAAAGAGAGTCCGACGCCGGCGCCGAAGCCGCGGCGTCGTCGCGCTGTCGCCATCGGGTGGTAAGAGATCTCCTATCCGTCCGTGAAAGAGTTATCGATGAGAATTTCTTTTCGACCCCTTTCTTTTTCCAACTCTCTTATCTCTCGGCGAATGCTTCGATGAATTAAAATTTATCTCCAATCTCCTGATGCACACACATACACATCCGGATGTATCTCGATGCAGATAATAATTCCGTTTCTCTCGACGCGCGGAATCCCTCGCATTCCTCGCGCGTATCCCAATTTGCTCAAGTGCGATATGTGTGTGTGTGTGTGTGTGTGATATTGGGTGCTTCACCTGATGACACATACAATAATTCTCACACAATACGTTATCTATATAAATATCGTAATTATTTATAAACAACGTTATTGTTCGCGAAATGGATATCCGCGTTATCACACGAGACTTTTCATCGCGCACGTGCCAATTGATAAGGAAACTTTAGAGGCGCGCTTCAATTTGTGTCGCGACGTACACACACACACACACGTACGCGGGGATACGAAATGAAATAAAGATATGCGTAACTGCTGTGTGCGAAAACTAAGTATAGTTAGTTATGTGTTCCTTGTGTGTTATCGCAACACGACTTCAAGTTGTGTAACTAATGACCCGGTGAAAGATTTCCAGCCCGACAATTGGACGCGAGATATAACTTTTAACTAGCGAGTTATATCGGGCCAAGTATTTATCAATATAATTGCGCTGTTGCATGTGTTTGTATGTGTGTGTGCAACGCGCGTCGCGCTATCGACGCAAACGACATGTGTGTGCAATAATAAACGGTGAAAAAAATGAACGTAATGAGTCGCTCGACTTGAAATGTGCAACACACAGATTTATGTAACACGCCTGATCCTGCGCACACAAACGATTCAATATCCGATTGGAAGGACCCACCGGGAGAAAAACAAAAATTTCTATTCGTCCGTTGATTTTTATATCAATGACGTAATTTAATAAAAAAAAAAAAAAAAAAAATCTTTCATCGTAGAGAAATAGAAAGCTGTTGTTTTGCCAATCAAAAAGAATCACAAAACAAAAGAGGACAATAGGTAAAAAAAAAAAAAAAAACGAACAAAAAAACCTCTGATAGATCTTTGAAGAATCGTCTCTCGAAAGTCGATCCCGGAGATATCGCTCCGGAATAAACGATGCGACCAACTACGCAGTCTATTTACAAGCGCGAGTTACTATTGTCGGTAATTTGCCGTTGTGCTGCACAGACCGACGAGGAGGAGGTAGGTACCTGTATGTAGTGACGAGCGCACACGCACAAGGGCGCAATTGTCCAAGGAAGCGCGCGCCGTGATTGATATCCCACTTCAATTAGAATTGTTGGACACGTCCCCCGTTCCTTTTCGCTCGAGTTTTCTACATTCTGAAAGAAATATATCGATGAGAAAAAAAAAGGAAAAAATAAAACACGCGCGCACTCTCGGAAACTCTCCGGGTGTCCGCGAACTTTATCGCATATTCGACTTGTATGTATATTAGATCTCCTCTCGCCTCGTTCCCGACCTTCGTCGCACCGCAACGTTCCTCCGCGCTAAAATATCCTTCGAGTTTTGCGCAACAAACGCGCACTCGTGTATCGCACGTATGTACATAAAAAAAAAAAAAAAAAAAAACTCGGCACTTTTCTTCTCAGATTCTTCGCCGATCAAACATGTCGATACGAAACGAAGAACATAGAACGCGACGGGAAGTAAGAGGCGCGAAAAAGTGGGTAACGGGGTTGAGCAGCGAGCGACGGGGGTGTCATTGTGTTCGAAAATGACGCGCGCTGTGCGCGCCGAAAGAGACTTTTCCGCGAAAACAGACTCCGACGATCTCCGCGTCGATTCGTTCGCGCGGTCTCAATAACTGTCGCGATGCGATAACGTAACTTTGCTGCTCTCGTACGAGCATATTATATATATATATATATACCTATATGCAAGCGTGGAATAAATCGCCAAGGACGCGTGCCCCATGGGCACTTGCAATTTGGTACAATTCGTCACCATTACGTGCCCGCCATTTCGTCTCGTCCAGGTCGTCCGAGAGCTCTGGCTTTGCCGATTTCTCGGTGCGGCATATGTACGCACGTACAATCGCTCATTGCACGCGTCTTTGTCCGTGCGAGATACTCACAAATGTTATTCTGCGAAATAACAATATTTTAATTTGGTACAAGAGAGAAAGAGAGAGAGAGAGAGAGAGAGAGACCTAGAGAGAGAGAGAGGAAAGATTTTTGTTACACAAAGCGAATTATCAATTGATATAATTTATCTGTTGCGGCTCTCCGATATACTTAATCGTCACAATTTGCGAACTCCAATCGTCTCCTCCCCGACGCGAGACATTTGATCTCCTATCCTGTCGCGGATTGTGTGCATGTCCGTCAGTTCGGTTTTAATCATCGGGGGAGGGTTGGGACAAAGTGGTTCTCTTGAGAATTTTCCGTTGTTCGAGGTCGAAACTTTTCGAGGAATCAATATGATCTTCGTCGAGAATCACAGAATCGGTTCTCGCAGGCGGGATATCGATTCTCGCCGAAGAGTGCCGACGGCGGCCGAGGCTGTGAAAGTGACGTACGCGAGTAGTGCATGGTAGTGAACGAGAGCGGTGACGAGCTGGCGAGCTGTTAGTGGTCAGTGTGATGGTCATTGTAGACGTAAACTCGATTTAGGCCGACTTGACGTGTCTTCAAGTAGTCGATTTGACGTAGCGCGTTCCGCTTTTTTCGCCCGAACGATTTTGCAATTCTTCCGCCTTTGCTATCTCGAGAAAGAAAGAGAGAGAGAGAGAGAGAGAGAGAAAAGGAGACCCGTTACCACAGGACCCCCGTTCCCGTTTCGTTGACGCTACGATTGACAGTTAACCGAACCGACCAGACACCCAGGTAGACGATAGGCGAATTAGAAACGACACACAGACGACGACGAGGTCGTGGACGTGGATGTGGGACGTGAAGCGATAGACGAAGTGGGCGGTATCGATGGTGGTTTGTGATTAGGGAAGACGTGTGTCACGCATGAATGTCACCGCGATTTATCGAGCAAGCGTCGTCTATACGCATACTGTACGTTTTTTCCTATCGCGAAAAAAAAAAAACACACGTCTTCTCGTCACGTTCTTCGCTCGAGAGAGTTTTGCGCGAATTTCGCAAATTTTTCGATCGAGTCGTTTTTTTTTGTCGCGCGCCGCGAGCTATGTGTGTTAAGTTTCCGGCGGAATCGCGGAACGCGTTGCGCGATCGATTTGTATATAACCAACCCACCCTCATTTTTCAACGATCTCTCCACAGGTAAATCTCGTCATAGCCGCGTCGAAAGAACGAGGATCGATTATTGTGCGTGATCTAACCTAACCTCGGAGGCGTAAACTCGCCGCTGCGACTCCGCCACCGCCGAGGAATTCCATCGTGACGTTCTTCAAACATTGCCTTGACAAACACGCGATTCGTTCGAGATGGTCACCCCGCAGACTCCAGGTGGATCTTCATTGTTCGTCGGTTTTTTTTTTTTATTTTTTTTTTTTTTTTTCAGCGAAATTTGCGCGTCTCTGTCATTGACAGACCGCATTTGTTTTTAATGTTATCTGTCGTACGTTTTTATCATCTTGATATCTTATCCCTTTGAAATCAGTTTATCTTTGTTGGTAAGATTTTTGCGGCAACATATCTTCCAGAGAGATTGACACTTCATTGTTTATTTCTTGCAAAAAGCAAGAATAGTACAGCTATGTAAGCTGGTGCGAGACAACTGCTGTTACAAATATTGTATCGTCTTTAAGCAGGTATGGATCCCTGGGTTATTCAGCCCAGAGAAAGAATAAGATATCAGGAACAATTTGATTCCTTGAAGCCCATCAATGGGATAGTCACCGGTGAACAGGTTAAAGGATTTCTCCTAAGATCACAACTTCAGCCTCCTGTTCTCGGACAGATATGGTAAAGATGTTTGAACAATATTTGACATAAGAAATAACTGATCTAAACTGCACATTGATTGATTTTCTGATTCTTTATGTGTTTACAGGTCATTGTCAGATACAGATGCGGACGGAAAGATGGATATAAATGAGTTTAGTATCGCCTGCAAGTTAATCAATTTAAAGTTACGCGGTTTTGAAATTCCCAAAGTGCTACCACCTGTTCTTGTACAAAGCTTGAAGTCCTTCTCAGCAGGTAAATTATATCATATTTATGTGTGCACACACAGTGTGAGATTACACTGGGAGATAATTTTTTTTTTTTTTAGGTGATCCTGGTCTTGGTGGATTAGCAAATGGTTCAACCGGTCCTTCACCAAATAACATTGGCTCTCTAGTAAATTTAAGTGGACATCAACAAATGATATCTCAACCTGTAGCAAGTGTAGTATCTACAGTCGGAAGTACATCGCAGCCCCTTATAGGTAATAATATTGTTTTATGTCTGAAATTGTTTTTTGTGTTACTCACATAAGTAGAGATATTGAATTATCAAACTGCGTTCGAGGAGCGTGCTATTAGGAGAACGCCAGTGCGTCATTCTATCTTTGTTTTATATCTAATGATAAAGATAGACTGAATAGCGCAGGTAGAGCGCGCTGCCTTAAAAGTATTAAAAAAAAAAAAAAAAAAAAAAAAAGAATCTCATAAAGCTTCTGTCGCACAAGCACTTAGAAGTACACTGTTTCTCAAAATATTCCTTCCTCATTAGATTCAGCTAGATGTATACCAAAACATGTCTCATTGCAAACAAAATGAATAATTTCAATCATTTTCGTAAATTAAATTGGACCTACGTTCTTATTGTTGATGTTACTATTTTTATATACAACAAACATATCAATTACCAAACATAATTTACTCGTACTGTGTCATATATACTTGTGTGTTACTCATGATGCATCATACTACACAGCATTACAACAAAATAGACAGATTGTGGCTCCAAGTACACATGCCACAACTCATACACCACCGTCTAAACCACCCGCCCGACCCGCGCCACCTTCTGTGGGTATGTTGATTGTGTACTGAATGTTTGTGTGGATCAATTTATTTTTTTTTTTTTAACTTGACGCAAGCTTTTATTCGATAGCTTAACAAAGCGAGTTCTGAATTGGGACTTAATTTTTTTGGTTGTTTGTTAGTGTGTGTATGATACAATTTTGTATTCTTGTTGTGTGTTGTTTCTGCTGCGCTTGAAATATCCTACACAGTTTTAGAATACTTTTACAATTTGTTAGTAATTGAACACTCTTGTGTGAGATAATTATGTTTCTTCTAATATACAAAGCAAGATAAGCAAGCTCATAATTTTTTTTGAAAAAAGAAATAAAGATGATGATTATTTATAGGTTCCATGATATTCGTAAATCAAAATCATGACATTTTTTGTATAAAAAAAATTAAAATTTTGTTTGCTGATATAATGCTACTTTACTATTTATATATACTTTGTATATTTTATATTTTAAATTGTTTTATATATTTCATCATTTATATATTCTTTTTTATGAAAGTATTTTGTACATTTTCTCATTTTTTTAATAATAATACACGTGTTGTTAATAATACGCTTTACACTTTACGCGGCACAAAAAAGGAATTGCACCTCCTATCAGTACTACAACTGGTGGTCCCCCACCGCAAAGACCCGCACCGCCAGCAAATATTGGTATGTTCTAACAGACAGACAAATTCGCGCATATATTTCTGTATGCGGAAATTAAAAATCCGATTTTAAATATTATCACATCACAAAACCATTAATGCGTGTAATCATGTAAAATAAAAAAAAAATTAAATTTAAAGAGAGCCGCAAGATAAATAATAAATTAGTGTATTTACTTTAAATTATCTTAGGAAGTAATTTTACATCTACAACAAGTGGTCAGCCACCAAAACCAGCACCACCTTCATTTCCAAATAGTCCTGTAGGAATTTCACCAATGAAAGTTCCTGGTCCTGTTGTTGGTGCACCAGTCGTTCCTTCAGTTCCGTCTATACCTGCTTCTGGCATAGGTAAGAAATTAGAACCAATTTTGTCGAAAAAATCGTTACTCTGTGCTGTGGATTTGTTTCTTTGTAATATCAATGCAAAAAAAAACTGACTTTGTAAATAATTTTATTGATGGAATTAACATTTTCAGTAGGTGGTATTCCACCAGTTGCGCCGGTAGCACCAGTAGCATCAATTGTTCCGTTAAACACAAATCCTGTGCCGATGGCTGCCTTTAATATGCCACAACCATTGCCGACACAGCCATTAGGAATGGTCAGTGCGGGTATGGTCGCTCCGATACCCGGCATTCCTAGTATGATACCATCTGGTATCGGATCGATAAATACTGGTAAAATTATAACAAAACACAACATCCGTGAATATATCCAAAGCAATTGACTTGTTACGATGTTAATTTTAAATTTTTAATCTCTTTAGGCACTGGAGTAGCTTCTTCTGTTGCGTTACCATTAGTATCTTCGACAACTGCAAACGGCACGCTGGTTAATGGCGCCATTACACAAACGCCAGTGTCTACGAACACACCTTTGAGCACAACAGCTCGTCCACCAAGTATAGACAGAGTAGGCTCCGTGGATTCGCAGCACAGCCAACATTCTGTTGGTTCGCCGCAAGAATGGGCAGTGCCGCATCAGACGAAGTTAAAGTATACTCAGTTATTTAATACTTGGGACAGAACGAGATCTGGTTTTCTATCCGGACCACAAGCGAGAAACATCATGGTGCAGTCACAGTTGCCGCAAGCTGTGCTAGCTCAAATATGGTAAATACGAACAGATAAAAATTTTCTTTTATTATTGTAGAATACAAGAATACACATATCTAACTGTGTGTCGTAACAGGGCTCTAGCCGATATGGATTTGGACGGACGCTTAGGTTCGGAGGAATTTGTTCTCGCGATGCATCTCTGTGACATTGCTAAACTCGGCGAGAAAATACCTACGACGCTTCCACTGGAACTCATTCCACCGTCGTTTAGACGGCAACGTCAGAGCAGTCTGACGTTGTCTCAAAACGCAACGGAAAATATCGATCCACTGGCGGGCATGCCACAGGTACGTACGCGGCTAATATAAGAATTTTATTTTTTGTGCAAAAAGAAATAGAAAAAAAAAAGCACATCTTTTTACAGACTTCATTTGAAGATAAACGTAAAGAGAACTTCGAGAAAGGTCAAGCGGAATTGGAGCGTAGGCGTAAAGCGTTATTAGAGATTCAGAGAAAAGAACAAGAAGAGCGAGAGCGCAAAGAGAGAGAAGAAGCTGAGAAACAAGAGAAAATAAGGTATCACAAGTGAACTCAATTGGTGACTCAATTTATTAGACTTAGTGACAGAAGATGACGATATTGTGATTCCTTTTGTGAGACAGACTGGAACAGGAGAGGCGTAGACAAGCGGAAATCGAGAAGCAAATGCAGAGACAAAAGGAAATCGAACAGGAGAAAGAAGAGCAGCGGAAACGCGCGCAAGAGCAAAAAGAAGCGGCACGCAAGTAAATTTAACGCCGTTATTAATGATAAGATCTACATGTGTACAGATTTCTTGGGAACAAATGTTTTTCTTATGATACTTAGAGAAATGGAGAGACAACGACAATTAGAATGGGAACGTCAGAAGTCGCAAGAATTGCAGGCGCAGAGGCAAAAGGAGCAAGACGTTCTTCTCAAGTTGAAAGCTAAGAATCAGACACTAACCATTGAACTCGGAACACTTGTAAGTAGTAACAACTAAGATAATATTAAAGATTTAATTGATCAATTCTTCTTGTAACGGTTCTCTCTTCTCTCAATTTTCAGAATGAAAAAGTGAAAGAATTGTCACAAAAGATTTGCGATACTCGGGTAGGAGTGTCGGGCGTCAAGACCACTATCGACGGCATGAGGTCAACGAGAGACCAGCAATTGCAAGAAATGTCCGCGCTGAAAAATAAACTACGGGAACAAAATCAGAGATTGCTGGCGCTGAGTCAAGAGAAAGCGCGTATCGAGGCGAGAAATAAGATCAACGCGGTCCAAGATGCCGCTGGACAAGAGGCTATCAAGATGGCTTTTGACAATAAACAAATTACTCTTAAGCAACTAAAAGACAAAATTGCAGATTTACAACAGCAGGTACGCTGATATTGGGTTTTTGTATCTATACAAAGTCTAGTCACTGCGACATTGACGTAATTTCGTTTTTCGAAATGTAATTTTTTTTTGTTCGACAGATCGATGCGAAAATGTCCGATATCGAGAACAATAATTCTCAACTCGAAGAAATTAAGACGCAAATAAAGAATCTGGTAACGGACTGCAAGCAGCTTTATGTTACGTTCGATGAAAAGAAGAAGCAGGTGCTCGAACTGCGAGCGAACAGCGGAAACGTCTCGGCTGCCGATTTCGCCACATCCGCGTGGGGCGATAACGCTTGGGACAACGCGCCCTCTGTACCCAGCGACACAGCTTGGCCCGTCGATGATACCAGTGTGACGAACGAGGAGGAGGTTGTTCCGGGTGTTCGTAAATACCGAGCTCTTTACGAATTCGTGGCTCGGAATCAGGACGAGATATCATTTCAACCTGGTGACATTATATTGGTGCGTATAATAATATGCGATAAGATCTCGTTACAGTTGAGAGAATTGTTCAAATATACATCATGTGTCTGTTATGATATCACATTAAAGGTGCCACCAGTGCAAAACGCCGAGCCGGGCTGGATGGCGGGCGAAATTCGGGGCCACACCGGTTGGTTTCCCGAATCTTACGTCGAGCCAGTGGATACTGGCACAGCCTTAGACAACGAACGCGCTTTCATACAGCAGGACAGCGTAGAGAAACGAACATTAGAGTCAGTATTTTCATTCATATCGATATTTGCAATACGTAGAGATTGTTTTCGCGAATAAAATATTGAAAAATTTTTAATATCGCGCAGGGGAATAGCGGAAGTTCCCGAGAACGTATCCGATGCGGGATCGTTAGGAGGAGAACCTCCCGTAGTGGAAGCTATTATACCAACTTTAGGATTAGGCACATCTTGCGACGTGCAAGCCACCGCTTTGTTTCCATATCGACCTACTATGGAGCAACATCTTTCCTTCGAAAAAGGGGAGACTATTTATGTTTCGGAGCAGCAGGTTAGTGACGCGAATAAAATCATTCTGCGTCGATTAAAGGAGATCAGCGCGTACATTTTACAAAACGTCAATCATCTTTTTTTTTTTTTAGACTGACTGGTGGTACGGCTCGACCAGTAGTGGCAGTAAGGGTTGGTTCCCCAGGTCGTACGTGAAAGAGATAGCTGCAAACAGTACGGATGTTGCAGATGACGGTCTTAATGAATATTATATCGCGCTTTATCGATACGAGTCTACCGAATCCGGCGATCTCAACTTCAATCAAGGAGAAGTTATGTTAGTTACGAAGAAGGATGGAGATTGGTGGACTGGTTGTATAGGGGACAGGACTGGAATCTTCCCATCTAATTACGTAGAGAAATATGATGCCGCTACTGAGGTATAATTAAATAATCTTCTTTTCGATCTGTTCTTACAGTGTTGAAGAGGTTGACATTAACTACTTAATTAGATTTGATAAGATTGTTATAACTTACCCTCTTTCCGAGAGTTCCTAATAGGAGTTTGTTGTGATACTGTGATTAGGGTGCGCCTTTGTCTACTAACGTTAACGAATCTAGTTCCGCTGTTGCCGAAACTGTTGCGGAAACGACAAGTGCGCCAGAGACCGTAGAAACAAAAGTGCGTAATCGTTTATTTGCATATCATTTTGTATTTGCTGTACTAATCTTTGGACAACGCGATTGAAATAATGAATCTGGAGTGACGTAGAGTGTGCGTGTATTTGTAGCCGGAGAAAACGGCCGAACAGCTGGAAGATGAGAGACAAGCCGCTGAGGATAGAGCGGAATTACCAGACTTCGCTGCTATGGCAGCTCAGCAGGTATGAGGGTTTATAATATTAATCGTCTTTATTTTTTTCATATCTCACAACTGTTTGGCTATTATAAGAGTACATAATTGTTCAATGCTTCTTTTATGCTACCGACATCCCGATATAACGCAGTATCACAAGGTACTTGATTTTTATATTACACACTAATTATCAATAACTTGTTTATAACTTAATGGAAGTTTTTATAAATATATATTTTGCGAAATATAAATTTTAAAACAATTTTTTTTCTCTTTTTCTTTCTCAGCGAGGAAGGAAACCAGAAATCGTTCAAGTTATCGCGCCTTATCAGGCAACTAGTGCGGAACAATTAGATCTGCAAAGAGGACAATTAATCATGATTCGCAAAAAGACCGACAGCGGATGGTGGGAAGGAGAGCTTCAGGTATTTAAAAATATAACCTCTCTTGTCGTAAACAACAATAATGATAAAATATTGTTTACTTTAGGCACGCGGTAAAAAGAGACAGATCGGTTGGTTCCCAGCCACTTACGTTAAACCTTTAACCAGTAGTAGTAACAGAAGTACACCCGTTTCTCACGGATATCAGGACTCTCCGACGGATCCGAATGTCGGTAAGCAAACTTCACAATTGAAAACACATGCATAATTGTGACCGAGCTGACGAGTTCTCATACGAAACAAACGTATGGTGTGCCATACATGTTCTTTTCCGTTTGTGTAGAACGCGTTATGGCTTTGTATCCCTATCAAGCACAAAACGAAGACGAATTAAGCTTTGAAAAAGGTGATGTCATAATAGTACTTTCTAAGGAAGAAGCTTCGTGGTGGAGAGGCGAATTGAATGGCGTATCCGGCGTCTTCCCAAGCAACTACGCATCACCCATGTGTAAGTATTCTTTTCGTACGTGATTCACAAAGTCGATTCCCGATAACTGTTCCTATGTTCTTGAGTTGAAAAAAAAAAGTTTTAACGATTGTGTGGAGCATATGATATATATATATATAAAAATACTTATATAATTTTTATTTTGAGTTTTTATGCATAATAATTATGCACACGCGTGTAAAACGACAAGATAATTTTGAGCAACAAATAGTGAGAAACGAAATAAAAGTTTCTATATATTGAAAACGTGAAAATATGTACAATTTCTCTGGTCACGGATAGGCGGACGTTCGTCAGGTATAACACAATTAATACAATTGTTTATAATATCTCATTGTCATCAGAGTTTCGTCATCAGTATTATTAGCTTCGTCATCATCACCATCACCACCATCATCATTATCGTCATCTTTATGTTATATATGTTATATTTTATTTGTATTATATTATTATTCTGTTAATTTAATATATTTTATACATTTCTCTCCGCCTTTATTTATCTCACCAATTATTTAATAACTCGTAAACTAAATAAAGGTGGAGTATGTCTCGTTGTTACGTATAATTACTGTAACATGATATTGTCATAGGCACACAGTTCGTAGCACATGAATTTATTTAGACACCACGTCAACAAGTTTTTTTACATAAACTAAATGTAGTTTACATGTCAGAGAATATATTTTTTCACCAGTTACAAATCTCGTCTAAGTTAATGACATCATTGAAATGTTTTTTTAAATGTAAGTATTCTCTCTCTTTTTTTTTATTTTTTTTTTTATTTTTTTTTTTATTTTTTTTTTTATTTGTAAGGCGATCGCGTTCTCACAAGTTTGAGAACTAACCGTCGGTGCGAGGAAGTGTGGCATGTTTTTTGGTTGTCATCAATCAAAGCGCGCTTATTACCATTAGCAACAACAATTTAAATTTTACACAGCATTGTGTATGGCTTGGTTACCAGTTGTCCATATTCACAAAGTGTAAAAATCGCGCTTACACATTTGCTGCCTGCGATTTACATTAGAGAAACTATAATAAAAGAACGATAAAATTCTCGATTTTATAAAACAGCCTGCCTGTCTGCCTTGCATGTCTGCCCATCCGTTCGTGCGTCCGTCTCTCCGTCAGAGGTAGCCGTTTTCTTGATGCAACAATTAACAAAAGAGCCAACACAGTTAACAACTTGCCGCAATTGATTGTATTACGTAGATGTGATTTTATTATCTAACAATATATAATGTGTTTTCAATAACACGTAAATTTATATGATAAAAATTTTGTGTTATATGATTACAATTTTAATGATTATCTTTTACGTTATTTCTATATTTATTTTTATGTTATTTATGTTAATTATTATATTTAATTGGTTATTTTTTTACACAATCTTGAAAGGCAATACAAATTTTCATTTGGTTTATTGTTTATGCTCTTCTCAAATATTTTATTTATATCTTTTTCATTTCAAAAATAATTGTTTGAATCAACAATTGTACATACACACACAGAATTCTTCGAAGAGACAGCTGCCTCTATTGTTTCTATTTGTTAGTCAGTAATTTGCGCATATATATTCTTATAAATCTCCACTATTAATTATTATCTTTCGCTTTTGCTTAACACGCAGCATAAAGGGTAGCCGAGCAGCAGTACAGCATTGTTGGTTAAAATTAAAGCACCTGAAGTGTAATAAGAACAATAGCAGCCTTCCCTACATTCAGCACGGCGTGCTACAACAACAGAAGTCTAAACGTTGGAGAGACACTGTGTATAAAAAAATTAAAACAAAAAAAAAAAAAAAAGAAAAACCAAAGTGAGAGTTGGGGTAGGGAAAAAAATAGGGAGAAACAAAACAAGAAACGAAGAATGTGGTGAAAAGGGAATTAGATTACGAGCAGGGCGAAAGACTCAGGGTTGGTGTTCTTCGTCTATATATATATATATATACATATATATGTATATAATATTTATATATAATATATATATATATGTATATATATATATATGTATATATAAATATTATATACATAGCCTCTCTACACCGATATATCATACAAGCCTTTCCCTTTGGTGCGCGGGATTGCACTCATTCCTTCATTAATGTTGTCATTCAGATTGTTATCACCGAGCCACGACATTACTATAGCCTTTAACTGTTTTACACTTTCAAAACGATTCTCATGCAGATACTATGTGTTTGTTGCATATAGAAAAAAGAAACAACGCGCGCGCATATATCAAGTTCGATCGTTGAGTCATTTCATTAGTGTTAACGACCACCCGAGATATATCTGCACCAACACCAAAGGTCTACCTCAGTTCTCTATCTATGCTGACGTACAATTATAAGAGAAACAATAATATTAAATTCTAGCTTATTCTCAACGTTAGAAATATACATATATACAACATTACGTCATGGTATGAAAATGTCACATTGTTACTTAATATTTAAGTCGGTCTTTAAGTTTAAGTTCACGTGTTGAATGCGCAAACCGCATTCTGTGTGCGAATGTCAAGATTCAGGTGCGAATTTAACGTATTCAGCTTGGATTACGGTCTTGCATAAAAAACCAAAAAAGAAAAAAAAACAAAAAAGAGAATTATTCATATACAAGTATCTCAACTTTTCGGAAATCCTTTTTAACTATCAAAAAGTAAAACAAAAAAAAAACAAAAACAAAACAAAACACGCTCTTAAAATTGCTTTCTTCTCTTTTGCTTCCGAACTTTTTGGTGGTCGAGCGAACTTTATTAACAAACGATTTTCAATCGTTTGATAGAAATTACAAATCGCTATTTCCTGTGTTTGATCGCTATTTCTTTCATCTATGGTGTAATGTTTGCATTGATCGCATTTGCGTAAAAAAAAAAAAAAAAACCTGTTTAGTATAATTAGACAAGCTACGATTTTGCGTTAGGTTCCTTTTTTCATTTTTGTTAAATGCGCGTTACAAACAGGCCGTTAAAGATCACGATTGTCTCACGCTGAGGCCTAAGGGATGTGCGTTCGATTGATATGCGTGACGATCTCACGATTGAGGAAAGATTATTCAGTGTTGTAATCGAAAGCGATATAAGAGGAGAAGGAGCTCAAACATTTGTACAATTTTAATTTATTGCGATTTACACGTTTTAATTTTATTTTCGCGTTTTATATATACAATCTTATTGAACGTCTAGCAAAGTTAGCTCGGAACATGATAGTTGCATAAAAATAGTTCATTTATCTGCGTGGTGAACAGAATTTATAATTTTAATTTATTATTTAGAGAATTTCTCATTGTGTGTACAAGTTCCTGTGTAACGTGTAATTGTTTGTTTGTTTGTTTGTTTGTTTTTTTGTTACTTTTCTCAAAGTTTTTATCTCGCGTGAGAGAGATGTAACAAAGCGTCGCTGTAGATAATAGCAATTAAGGATGCGCTCCTTCTCTCTTTCTCTTCATAGCCTTTTACGATAGCGCCTAAATAAAAAATGAACACTCGTACGCGAACAATAATACCGAGGATCACTAAGAGTAAACTAAGGACAAACGATAGAGTATGTATATCTCATTCGTGTACTTTATTGATAATCACAACGTTATGTCGATGTAAATTAGGTTTTCCATCCAGAGAATTGCATTCCTATATATATATATACATATATACATATATATATATATACACACACATGTACATATATATATATATATACATATATATATACATATGTATATATATATACACATATGTATATGTATTCGACGACTGACTGTGTGTAAAACTTTTGTTTCCTGGATTGTAATCGGACAGTCAGCGTGTTCTTGTTCACGTGTATAATGTATTGTATTGTATTTAGCTCGTTAAATACACAGCGCTTCGTTATGAGAAAATTTATTATACCGAAAGATATATTCAGAGATTATATATACATATATATATTCAAACTGTTTATTGTTTCCAGAAATCATCCTTGAAAAGAAAAAAAAAGAAAAAATACCCACACATTAGATCCATGTTTTATGTGAATTTTGGCGATGTAACACAGCAGAGCAGTTACGAAGCTTCGTGAAATCACATCAACGTCGACGAGAGCGCGTTTTCAGCAAGCGGCGCGGTTTCTTTCGGAAAAACTTCTTCGGAAAATTCCGATTGTTT